TTTTTGGTGCCTTGTCTTAGCATCTGTTGAAAAACATATCCCAGCGCAATGGGTCAGAAGGAAATGGGACACTAAAATCGCAAGTCAATGGACCCTCTGTTGCCTTACGATTTCTTTCTTATTTTGGTGTGAACGGGCCAAGCGGAATTCCGGGCACAAATACTTTAATTAAAATATATTTCCTCAATAGCCGCAAAGGATATAAATCCACTTAGTGTTCCCCGCATACCAGTTATCACCTTGTAAATCTAGCAGTGACATTATCACTGTGCTGTACATAGCCTGTGCAGAGAGCAGAGCTGTGGGAGGAGCCCAGCAGACCCCACCCACTACAGGCTGCCTGTAGACAACTACAGGAGGGGGCAGAGACAAGACCAGTCACCCCACACAAGGAGGGAGAGCAGCAGTGAGCGGTCTTTATTACAGGAAGCTCCAAGTGTCACACTGGATTATAGCACAGGTCTGGAAGAAATACACGGAGCACTCCAAGATTCAAGGAAGAATATACCGGGCTCTTGTATATAAACAATACTTGCTTATCCCGAAGTTCAGCTTTAAAATCTAGGCTACGTACCAAAAATATTTTGTGCCATTTCTGGATAATTTAGATAAACATTTGGGTGCCTTCTCTACTCAACATCACTTCTTCTCCTTTATAGTAGGAGTTCAAAATCAGCAAAATAAAGCGAAGTGCTAAGAGCGATAAAAAACGTATTTGGTAGTTAAATGGAACATTTATTTATACGGATAACACAGAGGAGAATGGAACAGAGAATAGCACATGCTTAGCACCACCAAGTGGCCGAGACGTGACAACTTCCAACATCTCTTTGTGTAGTCAAAGCTTGGAGGAAACTGCCGGATGAATCCTGATTATTCATTCAAGGTCCACCTCTTCGCTAGACCCCCCCACACCCCAGAATTAAAACCCCCAAACTGGAAACAAAATAGGGTGTAAGGTAAATAGTGTTTATTTTTTTCACTTCCAAGGCTTCTCTACTTTATTTTTACTTCGCATTTTTATTTTGCAGTCATGGACAAAAATATTGGCACCCCTGCATTTCTGTCAGATAATGCACCACTTCGAGCAGAAAATTGGAAATTGTTGCAATTACAAATGTTTAGACATTCTCATGTTTATTTATTTTATTTGTATTAGTAGGACACAAAAAAAGTGGAGGAAAAAAAAAGCCAAATCTGACACATTCCACACAAAGCTCCAAAAGTGGACTGGACAAAATGATTGGCACCGTCAATTAATATTTGGTAGCACAGCCCTTGGTAAAAAAATAACTGAAATCAATGAGTAACCATGTAACCATCAATGAGTTTCTTACACCTCTCTACAGGAATTTTGGACCACTCTTCTTTCGTCAAGTGATCCAGGTCTCTCAGATTGGAAGGGTTCCTTTTCCCAACTGCTGTTTTGAGATCTCTCCAATGTTTCGGCATGAGAATGCCGAAACATTTGTATTGCAACAATTTTCTGCTCGAAGTGGTGATTATCTGACAGAAATGCAGAGGTGCCAATATTTTTGCCCATGACTGTATCTAATAGGGGGGGGTTTGCATTTCCATAAACGTGAGCCTGGAGTCACTGTGGGCCTGGAGTCACTTTGGATAAATCCGGCCCTGGTTGCAGGTTGGAGCACTTGGGGTTTCCAGCACATAACTTCAGCAAGCTCCAAAAAACTAAAAATGACAGCCCATCCCGGGCTGTTCTGACAGGCAAAGCTCCGACACTTATTATTACATAGTATTTATATAGCGCCAACAGTTTGCACAGCGCTTTACAATGTAAGGAAGACATTACCATACAATTCAAGACAGGATGGTAAGGAGGGCCCTGCCCCTGAGGGCTTACAATCTGAAAGAGGAGGGGGAAATGATACATGAGGAGGTAGCTGTGTGGGGATGAATTGTTTGAGAATGTGATGGTGCAGTGGTTAGGTTGAGGTGGGATAGGCTTCCATGAAGAGATGAGTCTTGAGTGATTGCCTAAAGACAGTCAGGGTGGGAGATAGATGCACAGGTTGGGGTAAAGAGTTCCAGAGGATGGGAGAGACTCTAGAGAAGTCCTGGAGGCGAGTATGGTGAGGAGTTGACTTTAGTGGCCGTTGTTTTTAGCGTTTATTAGGTCATTGGTGAGTTTTAGGAGGGCGGTTTCAGTGGAGTGTTTGGGGTGAAAGCCGGACTGAAAGGGGTCCAAAAGGTTGTTATTAGCGAGGTGGCAACTCAGGCGGTTGTAGATGAGGCGTTCTAGTAGTTGAGGTTGGGGTGACTAGTGCATGTTTAAGAGGGGTAGGAAAGATTCCAGTAGAGAGTGAAAGATTGAAAATGTGAGTAAGAGAGTGTAGGATAGAGTATGAGGGTAACCGAAGTAGTTTTGAGGGAACAGGGTCCAGTGGGCAAGTGGTGAGGTGGGTGTCAGAGAGGAGCTTTGTAACTTCCTCTGTGGTGACCGGGTTAAAAGAGGAAAGTAACAAGTGTGATGGAGGGTCTGGTACATTAATAGGGGAAGTTGATTGGACAGTGGCGATCTGATCCCGAATTGCATCTATTTTGTTTTTGAAATGAGTGGCAATGTCCTGGGCAGTGAGTGAGTTAGTGGGTGGTGGTGGTGGCACTTCTAGATAGTTTCCAAGCCTGCCAGCTCCTTTCTGCCTCCTGCCTACTCCTATTGGCGGCGAGGCAGACCGTCATTGTGACGAGCCAATAGGGATGTGTATTCAGTCAGAACTGGAGGCTGCTTTGTTTATATCTGCAGCAATTTTATTTTCCCCTATAAAGGTTTCTGAAATGTAATCTCACATCGATAGGATTAGTCTCATCATGCTGGTGTCTGTTGCATGTAAATCTACCAAAATCAAAATGTCTACATTGCTATAAAATTATGTTTAGGAGCACACTAATATGTGCTGTCCATGGTGCTGACCCCGTGTGACATGAGATTGTAGTCCATCATGGGAGTGAGCTTGGAGCGGTGACTACTTTACAACACACACAGGGACCATGGGAACAGAAGTAGCGCCCCTCCAGAAGGAAGGACAGTGTCTGCACCAATTCAGAGATGATTTGAGGGTCTACAGCCGAGTGATACACAAATAAGTACATTTCTGTTAATGTTTAAGAAACTTGAATGTTTTTTTAAGGTTTAACTCCTGAGTTGAATGTCCCTTTAAATTAAATTTTACAAAAAGTTGGAGCCCTGATCCATTTAGGCCCATCAATGTGCACTGCCCCTTTACCATACTGATACCAGTCTGCATGCCCATTGGCATTGGCGAACACACAGGGCTCCCTGTTATGGACGAGGTGAACACACAGGGCTCCCTGTTATGGACGAAGTGAACATATGGGGATCCGTGTCATGGACGAGGTGAACACACGGGGCTCCCTGTTGTGGATATGGTGAACACACGTGGCTCCGTCATGGACGGGGTGAACACACGGGGCTCTGTGTCATGGACACGGTGAACATTCGGGGCTCCCTGTCATTGGCATGGTGAAAACACGGGGCTCCCTGTCATGGACGAGGTGAACACGTAGGGCTCCCTGTCATGGACGGGGTGGACACACGGGGCTCCCTGTCATGGACACGGTGAACATTCGGGGCTCCCTGTCATGGACACAGTGAACATTCGGGGCTCCCTGTCATTGGCATGGTGAACACGGGGCTCCCTGTCATGGACACAGGGAACATACGGGGCTCCCTGTTATTGGCATGGTGCACACAGGGGGCTCCCTGTCATGGACACTCTAAGCCTGGGGTGAGCAAACTCCAGCCTTCCAGTTACTGCTGAACTACAAGTCACATGAGGCATTGCAAGATTCTGACAGCCATAGGCAAGACTCCCAGAGACAGATGCATGATGGGATTTGTATTTTCACCCAAGCTGGAGTGCCGTAGTTTCTCAGGTCTTCCTCCTGATAACCTCCATGTCACCCCCCTCTCCAGCAGTACTCCATTCTTCCTTTACAGGTATGGCTAGAGAGTGTTTAATATATGACAGGGTCTCTTGCCCTGGAAGTTAAAGGAGAACTATGAGGTGAGTGCTTTTCACTCACCTCATAGTTCTAGCCGACCTGTGACAATGAGACTGTCACAGGTCGCTCAGTAGATCGGGAGGTGAGTGAACACATACCGGGTTCGCTCGCCTCTCGATCCTGTCATGGCTCTCTGCCGTGGCAGGGGAGGGGCTGGATTCCCCTCTCCCCGCTCCGATCTGCCAGCGCTGACTGGCGGAACGGACGGGGAGGGTACAGCTGGCTCTGCCTCTAGATAGGCAGAGCCAGCTGTCACTCACGCAGCTGGGCGGATCGCGCCATCTAAGTCGGGATCCGCTCCAGCTGTGGCGTCTCAGTATACCGTGAGCTGTAGCTCGTGGTATACTGAGCTTAGGGTAACGGGAGGATGCTAGTTTGTGTCCTCCCGTTACCCTAAGGTGAACTATGGGGAAAAACACTGACCCCATAGTTCTCCTTTAAAAAAACATGACTGCTCCAGGAAGAGTCAATTCCTTTGCATTACCTTCCCCCGCCCTCCTAGCATTTCCTCTTCTATGAGTGTGTAATCACTGTGCTGGCCCAGCTCCTTCACCCCTTTTATGTAGCTGCTTGGGGAGGGCAGAAGGGGAATATTTGACTGGCAGCTCTGAGTCAGCTGACATCACATCCAAGATGGCGGCGCCCAGCAGCATCCTCGGTGCTCTCGGATGTCTACACAGAGATGGCTTTCCCTTGAATTAAAAACCCCCTGGCTACTACAGAACACTCTTCACGTGATACCCCCATAGATTAATAAATCACACCGCCACAGCCATTGTCGGCGCTATACTCTTCTTACGGCGCAGCCTCCAACCCCGCCCCTCTCGCCTCCATTGGGCTCTGAGGTCCATTCCAGTGACGTCAGCGGGGTTCCAACGCTTACTGGGAAAGGGGCAGGGCCGGGGATGCCTGCTGGGCGTGGCCGTAGCTGGTGTCATGTCCGGGAGCTGAGACCGTACAGCGGTGTTCCGTACAAAGACCTCCTGCCTGCCAGGTATGAGTACGGTGTTTGGGGGGGCATAGGGAGGTGTCGGTGTGTCCATGCCGGTGCCTGATCACAGTGTGCGGGGCGGTGGGCCCGAGCCGGTGTCTGTTCACACTCTGTGCAGTGTCAGCTCACTTCCTCTGCTCTTGTTTATGTCTGTGGCTCAGCTGAGTCCCAGCATGTCCATGGATGTGTCTAATGGTGTCCCACACACGAGGTGATATACAATACAGGATGACAGTGTCACATGTGTGGACTCATCTCAGGAGGAACATTGGAATCTTTCGGGGAAATTTATCAAAACTGGAGCAGACAGAATCTGGGTCAGCTGTCCCTGGCAACCAATCGGCTTCTCTCACTTTCAAAGCTCAAATGAACACAGTG